CCCGGCTCCTCGCAGCTCTCGGGCACTTCTGTACAAACAACAACAAAAAAATGCAAAATAAATGTTTTTATTAACAAACCCCCCCAGGCTCCCCCCTCCCTTCCCCTTGGGGGGGGGGTCAGGGCATGGTGCCCCCACCCCACTTGGGGGTCCCCAAACCCCCCCATGCCGTGGCTGAATGAGAAGCAGGAGGCTGCTGACCCTTGGAAAATGCTCTTTATTGGCCTGGCACTGCCCTTCCTCCCTGGGGCAGGGGGGGCTCGGGGAGCCCCTCACCCCCCGGGGGGGCTTCGTGGCTGGGGGGGGGGGGGCCCCCAAAGTCAGGGCAGGGCTCTGTTCCCTCTCCCCCTGGTGTTCCCTGGGAGCAGAGCCCGACCCTGCTCTCCTGTCAGAGACTTGTGGGGTGAAAATTCCCCTCTGAGCCTCCTTTTCTCCAGGCAGTTCCAAAGCCTGACCACTTTTCCATGAGGAAATTGCTCATGTCCACCCTGAGCCTCTCCTGGAGGAATTTGGGGCTGTCCCCTCTCATTCTGGTGTTCCCTGGGAGCAGATCCTGACCCTGCTCTCCCCTCAGGGAGCTGTGGGGTGAAAAGGTCCCTCCTGAGCCTCCTTCCCTCCAGGCTGAGCCCTTCCCCAGCTCCCCAGGGCTGCCCCAGCCCCTTCCAGGTCTGCTCCACCCCTTCCCCAGCTCCCCAGGGCTGCCCCAGCCCTTCCCCAGCTCCCCCAGCCCCTCCCCAGCCCTCCCCCAGCTCACCTTGACGAGGTGGGGCCGCACCAGGGTGACGATGGAGGTGTAGCGCTCCAGCACGGGGGGGAACCCCACCTCCAGCTGCGCCTTGAGGTGCCCCGAGCGCCGCGCCACCACCACGGACTTCTTGCACCAGGGCACGAAGCTCTTGTAGTCCTCCACGTTGGCCACCACGTCGTACATCTCCTGCATGGAGTACCTGCCACGGGACGGGGTCGGGCTGCAGTCAGGGGCTGGGATTGGGGCTGGGATTGGGATTAGGGTTGGGATTGGATCTGGGGTTGGGATTGGGGCTGGAGTCAGGGGCTGGGATTGGGGCTGGGATTGGGATTAGGGTTGGGATTGGATCTGGGGTTGGGGCTGATGGGGCTGGGATTGGGATTAGGGTTGGGATTGGATCTGGGGTTGGGATTGGGGCTGGAGTCAGGGGCTGGGATTGGGGCTGGGATTGGGATTAGGGTTGGGATTGGATCTGGGGTTGGGATTGGGGCTGAAGTCAGGGCTGGAGTCAGGGCTGGGATTGGGATTGGGGTCAGGGCTGGGGTTGGGGTCAGAGTTTGGGTCAGGGCTGGGGTTGGGGCTGAGGTTGAGATTGGGGTCAGGGTCAGGGCTGAGACTGGGGTCAGGGCTGGATTTGGAGCTCAGGTCGGGGCCAGCCTGATGCCCAGGCTCAGGGCTGAGTTTGGAACTGGGCTCAGCCCCAGGCCCAGGCTCAGGGGCTGGGTTTGGAGCTGGGCTCAGGCTCGGGGCTGGGCTCAGGGCTGGGTTTGAAGCTGGGTTTGGGCTCAGGGCTGTGTTTGGGCTCAGGTTTGGGTTTGGGGCTGGGGTCAGGGCTGTGTTTGTGCTCAGGCTCAGGGCTGTGTTTGGGGCTGGGTTCAGGTTCAGGGCTGGGTTTGGGCTCAGGGCTGTGTTTGGGCTCAGGTTTGGGCTCAGGGCTGTGTTTGGGCTCAGGCTCAGGTTTGGGCTCAGGGCTGTGTTTGGGCTCAGGCTCAGGCTCAGGCTCAGGGCTGTGCTGGGCTCAGGCTCAGGTTTGGGCTCAGGCTCAGGTTTGGGCTCAGGGCTGTGTCGGGCTCAGGCTCAGGCTCGGGGCTGTGCTGGGCTCAGGCTCAGGGCTGGGTTTGGGCTCAGGGCTGGGTTTGGGCTCAGGCTCAGGTTTGGGCTCAGGGCTGTGTTGGGCTCAGGCTCAGGGCTGTGCTGGGCTCAGGCTCAGGGCTGTGCTGGGCTCAGGCTCAGGGCTGTGTCAGGCTCAGGCTCAGGTTACAGACAGCACCCACAGCACTGGGTGTCACTGAGTGGCACCGGGTGGCACAGACAGCACCCACAGCACTGGGTGTCACTGGGTGACACTGACAGCACCCACAGCACCCACAGCACTGGGTGGCACTGACAGCACCCACAGCACCCACAGCACTGGGTGGCACTGAGTGGCACTGACAGCACTGGCAGCACACACAGCACCAGGTGTCACCAGCTGTCACCGAGTGTCACTGGGTGACACCAGGTGTCACTGACAGCACCCACAGCACCAGCTGTCACCGGGTGTCACTGACAGCACTGGGTGTCACCAGTTGTCACCAGCAGCACCCACAGCACCAGCAGTGTCACTGGTAGCACCGGGTGTCACTGACAGCACCGGCAGCACTGGCTGGCACCGAGTGTCACTGGGTGTCACTGGCTGTCACTGAGTGTCACTGGCTGGCACTGAGTGTCACTGGGTGGCACTGAGTGTCACTGGCTGGCACTGGCAGCACCGGGTGGCACCACCTGTCACTGGCTGTCACCGGGTGTCACCGGCAGCACCCACAGCACCGACTGTCACAGGGTGTCACTGACTGTCAGCAGCAGCAGCTGTCACCGGTGGCACCGGCAGTCACCGGCCATCACCAGCTGTCACCGGGTGTCACAGGCGGCACCGGGTGACACAGGGTGTCACTGACAGCTGTCACTGCCTGTCACCGGGTGTCACTGGCAGCACCCACAGCACTGACTGTCACTGGCTGTCACCGGGTGTCACTGACAGCACCCACAGCACCAGCAGCACTGGGTGTCACTGACAGCACTGACTGTCACTGACAGCACCGGCTGTCACCGGCTGTCACAGGCGGCACAGGGTGGCACTGGCTGTCACTGGCAGCACCCACAGCACCGGCTGTCACCAAGTGTCACTGGGTGGCACCAGCAGCACCAGGTGTCACTGCCTGTCACCGGGTGTCACCGGGTGTCACTGACAGCACCCACAGCACCGACAGTCACAGGGTGTCACTGACTGTCACCAGCAGCAGCAGCTGTCACCGGGTGTCACCGGCAGCACTGGCTGTCACCAGCAGCAGTCACTGGGTGTCACTGACAGCACCAGCTGTCACTGGCTGTCACCGGCAGGGGCCAAGCGCCCGCTGCCCCCCGCTGCCCCCCGCTGCCCCCGGGGCACATCCCGGGGATCCCCCACGGGAATTCGGGAATTGTGCCCCCCCCGCCGCCACCGGAGCCGCGGGGGCACAGCCGGGTGGCCTCGGGACTGCCGCCCCTGCCGGGGACACCGGGCTCGGGGACACCGGGCTCGGGACACCGGGCTCGGTAACACCGGGCTCGGGGACACCGGGCTCGGGGACACCGGGGCTCGGGGACACCGGGCTCGGTAACACCGGGGCTCGGGGACACCGGGGCTCGGGGACACCGGGGCTCGGTTCCCGCACCGGCCCGCCCCCGGTGTCCCCAGCGGGCTTTGCCCCAAGGCCAGCCCCTCCCCGCCAGTGTTCCCCACCCAGGGCCCTCCGCGGGAACCGGGACAGCGGCCCCGGGGTCACCGGGATTACCGGGACCACCGGGATTACCGGGACCACCGGGACCCCCCGGTTCCGCCAAGGCGCCCCCGCACCACCCCACCCCGCGTGTAGGGCGCCGCGGAGCCGCCGGGCCGCCATGAGCGGGCCGGGACCGGGGCCGGGCCGGAACCGGAACCGGGACGGGGCGCCGCCGCCGCCCTGACCTCTCACCCCGTGACGTCACCACGTCGCCATAGCGGCGGGCGCGTCACGGGGCGGGGCGAGGAGACGCCTCCCGAGCGAGGGATTGTGGGAGTTGTAGTCGGAGGAGCGCGGGGCGCGATGGGAAATGTAGTGCGGGTGCACCGGGACGGACCGGGAGCAACCGGGATTAACCGGGACCGGTAACGGCCCCGCTCCGAACCGGGCAGAGGCGGCGAGAGAGCGGGAATTCACCGGGGCTGCGGGAGCTGCCCAGAGCCGCACAGCGCAGCCCAACGCACCCCGGGGCCTCCCAGTACAGCCCGGCACATCCCAGTATAGACCCAAAATCCCGGGGATGGAACACCTGGGTCGGGAACGGGAGAATCCTGGGAATGGCAGAATCCAGGGATTGGACCCCAGGACAGGGAATGGGACCCGTGGCCCGGGAATGGCAGAATCCCGGGGGAGCCTTGGCCCAGGAACGGGAGAATCCCGGGAATGGCAGAATCCCGGGAACGGGAACCCCGGGCCAGGAACGGGAGAATCCTGGGAATGGGACCTGTGGCCCGGGAATGGCAGAATCCCGGGAATGGGACCCCCGACTCAAGAACAGGAGAATCCCAGGAATGGGACCCCCGGGCCGGGAATGGGAGAATGCCAGGGATGGAACACCTGGGTCAGGAATGGGAGAATCCTGGGCCGGGAACGGGAGAATCCCGGGAATGGCAGAACCCCGTTCCAGCTGTGCCCCCATCAGTGTCACCCCCGTTCCAGCTGTGTCCCTGTCACCCCCATTCCAGCTGAAATCCCATCGCATCCCAAAATCCCATCCCTAAATCCCATCAATCCCATCCCTAAATCCCATCCCATCCCAAAATTCCATCCCAAAATCCCATCAATCCCATCAACCCCATCCCCAAATCCCATCAATCCTATAAATCCCATCCCATCCCAAAATCCCATCGCATCAATCCCATAAATCCCATCCCCAGCCCCATCCCAGTCTCTCCCAGTCTGTCCCAGTCCCTCCCAGTCTCTCCCATCCTTTCCCAGCCCCATCCCAGTCCCTCCCAATCTCTCACAGTCTCTCCCACCCTTTGCCATTCTCTCATTGCTGTTTCAGGAAATTGTTCTTCTCTCAGCTCTTTGGGATGTTTGTGCCTCCACAGTGAGGGGGACAGGCAGTTTTTAGTGACAGCACACAGACGTGTGTGTGCCCATGTTTGAGGACTCCCAGTCCCCCCCAGTGCCCCCAGTGCCCCCAGCTCAGGGTGTCCCTGCCCCCAGGACCAGGAGCGCCGGACCCCGCTGCACGCTGCTGCCTACATCGGAGACGTTGCAATCCTCGAGCTGCTCATCCTGTCAGGTGACACCGGGGCACCCCGAAGGACCCCCCAAAATCCGGGGGTGCGGCGGGACGGGCTGGGACCCCCCAAACCCCCCCCGAGCTCACGGGGTGCCGCCAGGGCGGGGTGTGGGAACGGTGACCCTAAAGGGTTCCCACGTCTTGGAAAAGGTGGAGGCAGAGCCAGGAGGGGGATGCTCAGCCAGTGTAATCCCCTAAAATCTGTGGGGGTCTGGAAAATCCCCTAAAATCTGTGGGGATCTTCAAAATCCCCTAAAATCTGTGGGGGTCTGGAAAATCCCCTAAAATCTGTGGGGGTCTGGAAAATCCCCTAAAATCTGTGGGGGTCTTCAAAATCCCCTAAAATCTGTGGGGGTCTGGAAAATCCCCTAAAATCTGTGGGGTGCTTCAAAATCCCCTTGCTCCTGTGGGGGTCTGCAAAATCCCCTAAAATCTGTGGGGATCTTCAAAATCCCCTAAAATCTGTGGGGAATCTTCAAAATCCCCTAAAGTCTGTGGGGTGCTGGAGGTGGGGGATGCTCAGCCGCTCGATCCCAAAGGTGCCCTTGATCCCCTGAGTTTTTGGGGTTACCCTTGGGATTCAGAGTGTCCCCATCAGGTTGTGGGGGTGGTCCTGGGGTTCAGGGAGCCCCTGCTGGATTCTGGGGTCACCCTTGGGATTCAGGTTGTCCCCATTGGGTTTTGGGGACACCTTTGGGGTGCAGAGTGTCCCTGTTATATTTTGGGGTTACCCTTGGGTTACAGAGTGTCCCTGTTATGTTTTGGGGATGCTTTTGGGATTCAGGGAGCCCCTGTAGGGTTTTGGGGACCCTCCTGGGTTACAGAGGGTCCTTGTTATGTTTTGGGGATGCTTTTGGGGTTCAGAGTGTCCCACTGTTTTTTGAGGACACCTTTGGGATTCAGGGAGCCCCTGTGGGGTTTTGGGGACCCTCCTGGGTTACAGAGTGTCTCTGCTATATTTTGGGGATGCTTTTAGGATTCAGGGTGTCCCATCATTTTTTGGGGACACCTTTGGGGTGCAGGGAGCCCCTGTGGGGTTTTGGGGATCCTCTTGGATTACAAAGTGTCCCTGTTGGGTTTTGGGGATGCTTTTGGGATTCAGGGTGTCCCATCATTTTTTGGGGACACCTTTGGGGTGCAGGGAGCCCCTGTGGGGTTTTGGGGACCCTCCTGGGTTACAGAGTGTCCTTGTTATGTTTTGGGGATGCTTTTGGGATTCAGAGTGTCCCCATTGAGATCTGGGGATGCCTTTGGGGTGCAGAGTGTCCCTGTTATATTTTGGGGATGCTTTTGGGATTCAGGGAGTCCCTGTTGGGTTTTGGGGACTCTCATGGGTTTCGGAGTGTCCCTGTTGTATTTTGGAGATGCTTTTGGGATTCAGGGAGTCCCTGTTGGGTTTTGGGGACTCTCATGGGTTTCGGAGTGTCCCTGTTGTATTTTGGAGATGCTTTTGGGATTCAGGGAGTCCCTGTTGGGTTTTGGGGACTCTCATGGGTTTCGGAGTGTCCCTGTTGTATTTTGGAGATGCTTTTGGGATTCAGGGTGTCCCCTCATTTTTTGGGGACACCTTTGGGATGCAGGAAGCCCCTGTTGGGTTTTGGGGACTCTCATGGGTTTGAGTGTCCCTGTTGTATTTTGGGGATGCTTTTGGGATTCAGGGAGTCCCTGTTGGGTTTTGGGGTTGCTCTTGGGTTACAGAGTGTCCCTGTTGGGTTTTGGGGATGCTTTTGGGATTCAAGGCATCCCCATTGGGTTTTGGGGACACCTTTGGAGTGCAGAGTGTCCCTGTTATGTTTTGGGGTTACCCTTGGGTTACAGAGTGTCCCTGTTATATTTTGGGGATGCTTTTGGGATTCAAGGCATCCCCATTGGGTTTTGGGGACACCTCTGGAGTGCAGAGTGTCCCTGTTATATTTTGGGGATGCTTTTGGGATTCAGGGAGCCCCTGTTGTGTTTTGGGAATTCCAGAAAACTCCCAACAAAACAAACAAAATTTCTTACCATCACCTCCAGCTGCAGCGCCCCGTGGGGATGCTCCCTGCCTGCTGTGGGGTTCGGGGCAGCAGGCAGAGGCAGCTTTGGGGTTTTTTGGGGTGCTGAGGCTCTGTGTGCCCCCCCAGGTGCTAACGTGAACGCCAAGGACACGGTGTGGCTGACGCCGCTGCACCGCGCCGCGGCCTCGCGCCACGAGGTGGGTGCTGGGCAGGGGCTCCTTGGGGGGAAAAGGGGATTTTCTGCTGCCCTTTCTGTCATTTGGGGTTTGGGGAATGCAGGAAGTTCTGGGGAAAAAAATCCTCCTTGGTTGTTTTTGCTCTGTCGCTCAGGGATTTCTCTGCTGGTTCTTTGGAGGTTTGGGAATTTGGGGTTTGGGGAATGCAGGAAGTTCTGGGGAAAAAAATCCTCCTTGGTTGTTTTTGCTCTGTCGCTCAGGGATTTCTCTGCTGGTTCTTTGGAGGTTTGGGAATTTGGGGTTTGGGGGTTTGGACACCCCTGTGATTCTCTGGGAATTTTAGAATTTGGGGGGTTTGGGCACCCCTGCTGATTCTCAGGAAATTTGGGGGTTTGGGCACTGGGGGTTTGGGCACCCCTGCTGCTGATTCTCTGGGAATTTGGAGATTTGGAAGTTTTGGGGTTTGGGCACCCCTGCTGTGGATTCTCTGGGAATTTTAAAATTTTGGGCGTTTGGGAAACCCTGCTGATTCTCTGGGAATTTGAGGATTTGGGGGTTTGGACACCCCTGCTGATTCTCTGGGAATTTGGGAGTTTTGGGGTTTGGGCACCCCTGCTGATTCTCAGGAAATTTGGGGGTTTGGGCACTGGGGGTTTGGGCACCCCTGCTGCTGATTCTTTGGGAATTTTGGTGGTTTGGGGGTTTGGACACCCCTGATGATTCTCTGGGAATTTGGGAGTTTGGGCACCTCTGCTGCTGCTTCTCTGGGAATTTGGAGATTTGGAAGTTTTGGGGTTTGGACACCCCTGATGATTCTCTGGGAATTTGGGGGTTTGGGCATCCCTGCTGCTGCTTCTCTGGGAATTTGGAGATTTGGGAGTTTTGGGGTTTTGGCACCCCTGATGATTCTCTGGGAATTTGGGGTTTGAACACCTTGGGGTTTTTTGGGGTGCTGAGGCTCTGTGTGCCCCCCCAGGTGCTAACGTGAACGCCAAGGACACGGTGTGGCTGACGCCGCTGCACCGCGCCGCGGCCTCGCGCCACGAGGTGGGTGCTGGGCAGGGGCTCCTTGGGGGGAAAAGGGGATTTTCTGCTCCCCTTTCTGTCATTTGGGGTTTGGGGAATGCAGGAAGTTCTGGGGAAAAAAATCCTCCTTGGTTGTTTTTGCTCTGTCGCTCAGGGATTTCTCTGCTGGTTCTTTGGAGGTTTGGGAATTTGGGGTTTGGGGGTTTGGACACCCCTGTGATTCTCTGGGAATTTTAGAATTTGGGGGGTTTGGGCACCCCTGCTGATTCTCAGGAAATTTGGGGGTTTGGGCACTGGGGGTTTGGGCACCCCTGCTGCTGATTCTCTGGGAATTTGGAGATTTGGAAGTTTTGGGGTTTGGGCACCCCTGCTTCTGATTCTCTGGGAATTTGAGGATTTGGGGGTTTGGACACCCCTGCTGATTCTCTGGGAATTTGGGAGTTTTGGGGTTTGGGCACCCCTGCTGATTCTCAGGAAATTTGGGGGTTTGGGCACTGGGGGTTTGGGCACCCCTGCTGCTGATTCTTTGGGAATTTTGGTGGTTTGGGGGTTTGGACACCCCTGATGATTCTCTGGGAATTTGGGAGTTTGGGCACCTCTGCTGCTGCTTCTCTGGGAATTTGGAGATTTGGAAGTTTTGGGGTTTGGACACCCCTGATGATTCTCTGGGAATTTGGGAGTTTGGGCACCTCTGCTGCTGCTTCTCTGGGAATTTGGAGATTTGGAAGTTTTGGGGTTTGGACACCCCTGATGATTCTCTGGGAATTTGGGAGTTTGGGCACCTCTGCTGCTGCTTCTCTGGGAATTTGGAGATTTGGAAGTTTTGGGGTTTTGGCACCCCTGATGATTCTCTGGGAATTTGGGGTTTTGGCACCCCTGATGATTCTCTGGGAATTTGGGGTTTGAACACCCCCGTTTTTCCACCTGCGAAGTTCTGGCCTGCCCAGCTCCCCAGAGGAACCTCCCCAAAATGCTTTCCCTACCTGGAGCTCTCTCTGTGGGCTGCCTGGCTTGATTTTTTGGGTCCCTGGGAGTGAAGATCCGTGGGGTTGGGATCCCTGGGAGCTCTGCCCCGATGGCAGAGGGAGGGGAAGCCTTGAAGCCAAAGCCTGGGCAGGAGCAGAGGGAAATAAAAGTCAAATGTAGGTCAGTGGGTCAGGATTGTCACCCCCGGGCCGTGCTGAGTCACCAGGGAACGTTCACTCCGGTTCCTCACGGTTCCTCACGTGGTTCCTCAGGGGGTTTCCTCCCCCCAGCCAGGATTCCTGGCTGGGATGGGGTGGGATGAGCCCACCTGGCTCAGGTTCCACCTGGGAACGGAGCTGGAGCAGCCCAGGTGAGGGCGGGGGGTTCATGGAATCCCAGGTTTGAGGTGGGGAGAGATCTGCAAGTCCAAGCTGGGACTGATCCCCACCAGGGTGGGGACTCCAAACCTCCCTGGGCACTTCCACAGCCCTTTCCAGCAGGAAATTCCTCCTGAAGTGAGCAGTGCCAGCCCAGGGGGACAATCCCTGTCCCAAGGCTGGGACAGCCCAGGTGCCATCCTGGCCACACCAATCCAACCTCTAGGACCTTTCCCAGTGGGAATATCCATTTTTGGAGAGAAACCCCCACCCGTGGCTTTGGGGTGGACAGGGACACAGGCAGGGGGGAATCCCACAGAAGGGAATCCCACAGTGGGAAATCCCACAGTGAGAAATCCCAGAGCTGTGGGGTCGGCAGGAATTGGGATCCGGGGCCGTGCCCGAGCCTCTCCCTGCCGTGCCACCCCACAGAAAGCCCTGCAGCTGCTCCTGAAGCACTCGGCCGATGTCAATGCCCGCGACAAGCACTGGCAGACGCCGTTGCACGTGGCCGCGGCCAACCGGGCCACCAAGTGCGTGGAGGCGCTGGTGCCGCTGCTCAGCACCGTCAACGTGGCCGACCGCACCGGGCGCACGGCGCTGCACCACGCCGTGCACAGCGGCCACCTCGAGGTGCCCGGGACGGGCCAGAGGGGTGTCGGGGTGGGCAGGGCAGGGAGAGGGACAGGCAGGGGCATCGGGGTGGGCAGGGATGTTGGGATGGACAGGAGGGGCATCAGGGTGGGCAGGGACAGGAGCAGGGGTGTGCAGGGACAGGGGTGGGAAGGGACAGGGACAGGAGTAGGAAGGGACAGGCAGGGACATTGGGGTGGGCAGCAGGGACATTGGGATGGACAGGGACATCAGGATGGGCAGGGATAGGGGTGGGCAGCAGGGACGTTGGGTGGGAAGAGACAGGGACAGGGACATGCAGGGACATTGGGGTGGGCAGCAAGGACATCAGGGTGGGCAGGGACAGGGACATCGGGGTGGGCAGGGACAGGGACAGGGCAGGCAGGGATGTTGGGACGGACAGGGACATTGGGGTGGGCAGGAACACCAGGGTGGGCAGGGACAGGGGTGGGAAGGGATATTGGGGTGGAGAGGGACAGGGATAGGCAGGGACGTTGGGGTGGGCAGCAGGGACATCAGGGTGAGCAGGGACAGGGCAGGGACGTTGGGATGGGAAGGGACAGGGGTAGCCAGCAAGGACGTTGGGGTGGAGAGGGGCAGGGACATTGGGGTCCCCCACCTCCCCAGTGTCCCCAGTCTCCCCATTCTCCCCATCTCCTCAGTGTCCCCCATCTCCTCAGTGTCCCCATCTCCCTGGTGTCCCCCATCTCCCCAATGTCCCTCATCTCCCTGGTGTCCCCTGTGTCCCCATCTCCCCAGTGTCCCCATCTCCTGTGCCCTCCACCTCCTTGTTTTTTCTCATCTCCCTGGTGTCCCCATGTCCTCAGTGTCACCATCTCCCCGTTTTGCCCCACCTCCCCAGTGTCCCCCATCTCTCCCCAGTGTCCCCACCTCCCCAGTGTCCCCTTTTCCCCAGTGTCCTCACCTCCCTTCAGTGTTCCCACCTGCCCAATGTCCCCATCTCTCCTGTTTTTCCCCACCTCCCCAGTGTCCCCAGTCTCCCCGTTGTCCCCGGTGTCCCCGGTGTCCCGGTGCTGTCACGGCTGTCCCCCCAGGTCACCTGGAGGTGCTGAAGCTGCTGGTGGCACGCGGGGCCGATGTCATGTGCAAGGACAGGAAGGGTTACACGCTGCTGCACACGGCGGCCGCCAGCGGCCAGATCGAGGTCGTGCGTCACCTGCTCAGGCTGGGGGTGGAGGTGAGACCCCCGGGGACCTGCCCAGGGGGGGCTGGGGCTGGGAAAACCCAGATCCCCCTGTGGGGACAGCAGCTGGAGAGGTGGTGGCAGGAGCTTTGGGTGGTGGCAGGAACCTCAGTGGGTCTCAAAGTCGAGGTCGTGCGTCACCTCCTCAAGGCTGGGGGTGGAGGTGAGACCCCCGGGGACCTGCCCAGAGTGGGACTGGGGCTGGGAAACCTCAGATCCCCCTGTGGGGACAGCAGCTGGAGAGGTGGTGGCAGGAGCTTTGGGTGGTGGCAGAAACCTCGGTGGTTCTCAAAATGCCAAATCTCAAATCCTCTGGAGTTCATTTCTGTAGATCCAAATTCCGTCACCCTGAGCAGTGAAGGGAGCTCTGGGTGGTTCTCAGCTGCCTTTTCCCCTCCTAGATCCCAAATCCTGTGGGTTTTGTTGATCTCTGAGATCAAGGAACCAAATTCCTTCCCCCTGGGTGGTGACAGAAGCTTTGGGTTCTCCTCATCCACCTTTTCCTGTCTGGAACCCCCAAACCCCATGGACCCCACAGACCCCGCAGATTCCTTGGATCCCGTGGACCCCACAGACCC